CCTTAATGCACGTACTTAAAGTTCATCTCTTTTGAGCAAAGCACTCGAGTATGTGTTTTCATTTGAAGGCAGTGAAATGTACGTGTGTGTCTAAATGCTTTGTTCACTAGGGGTGAATAGCCTTTTGTTGGGTGGGCCAAAGTCATCAGCACCTTCCAGGATCAAATCTGTAATGCTTTAACTCTGGTTGCTGTCACTGGGAATGAATGGTAAAACATCAAAGGAGGGAAAGGACTTGACATTTTGAAGTTAGTGGAAGTTTTGAGCTAGATCCACAGAAGAACATTAAGTGCCCACATCCAAAGTTTAGATCGTCAAAACCTGCTCAACTATCACCTAGCCCTGGAGGCAGCTAAAATGTTTCCTAAGTACTCAGATATTTCAAGGGTGTTAGCACTGTTAGGTCTGCAAACACGATTCACAGCGTAAACCCAGAGATTTCAAACAGGAGTCCATGGTGCTAGAAGAATTCTGATCTGTTGCAGTCTTTCTGATTGCTCTGCAACAGAAGGATTGTCCAATTGTTTTTCCAAAGTAAAAATAAGTGAGTGAATACTAAGAGCTGGCCTTTTCTGAGGGGTGCCTTGAGTCTAAAAAGGTTGAGAATCAACAATACTACCCACTGGAAGAAGCAGTGCTAAATGTGACAGAATCAAAGTCATTTTGTGACTCTAAACCCTTGTCTATAGTTTGGGCTCTAAGTCTTTCCAGATCCAGCCCTAATCAGCAACAAACAAAGGTCATTAGCATCTAAAAGTTGGTTGCTGTATGAAAGAGCTGTATGATTGCTCAGAGCTCCAGACTTGGGCCTGCACATAGGATGGCTGCCAACGGATTTGGAAGCATCTGAAGCCCCCGGCTGAGGTGGAGGATACTTACTGGTAGCAGGGCTCCATATGGCTCTTGCATGATTCAAATGAATTTGGACCTGATCTGGGTAATTTGACTTGGGACGTGAAAAATTTCCTTAAAAAAAGACTTCTCTTTGCAAACAATCAGCTCTGTACCTTTCACACAAGCACTAGGTTAACATTAAATGTTTTTAATGGTTCTCTAACCTACCATCTAATGTTTCTCTCGCAGTCTCTCTAGCATACTCCAATATCCCTATGGATTTCAAAACAATAATGCCCAAAGTGTCCTGATCTTTACAAACATGGTTGTTTCTTTTTTAAAGATCCTATTCCCCATGATTTATGACCTAAAATACACTATTCACCTTATCAGTCAAGGTCTAAGATTTCTTAGTATGGAGAAACCTGGGAAAGGATGTTGGCGTAGCCCTCCCTGGGGTGAAGGGTTACAGTGAATCGAGGCCTGAAAGCTCTGTGCCTTTGTAACAAGGCCATGTGTCACTGGAGGGGGGAGGGAAGCAACAGGTGCCTCAGGTTAGTTCTGGGTCCCCGGTGTAAAAAAGTGCTAGTGGATGAGTGGCCACATGCATCAGTGACACGCGGCTAGCCCTGGGCCATAGTCTGCCAAAGTGGTGTTGCAGCAGCATTGCCAGGTCTTAAATATGAAATTATCATATTGGAAGCTCAAAATTATTGCATTTATTGAGAAACTATCATTCACTGAAAAAATGTGCAAATGAATATGCAAGTAAGTCTTATTTACTTTATATTGCTCACAGTATGTCACCAGTGAGTGAGAATTGTGTCAAAGTTGAAGCATCTCTATTTTGAGATGTCATAGGAAGTGCTGACACCCTAGAGGCCTCTTGAAGGCTCAGATCAAGTGTAGTGGCTTAACCTGGCAGGGAAAATACCATGCATCTGTGTCCATGAAGGCATTTTCCTGAACCTCTACACGAGAGAACTGCCCTTCTGGCGTGGTTGCAGTGGCTTTAAACCCAGTTTATGGAAATAGGAGTCTCCTCCCTTGCTTGCTCGGGGGGCCTTATGGCTGAGGGCAAGTGAAACTTGGGGGCATCCGAACCCCAAGCCTCTGGGCTTGGGCTGGCAAGTAGGATGCCCGCCAAAGGTTTTGGAAACATCTGAAGCCCCAGGTGCAGGTGGACTCTCGGATTTGGAATTGATTTGGCTTGGAACATGAAACATTGTCTCCCCCCAAAAAAAGACACCGATATACGGTTTTTGGATGATTTAAAGGCTTCAGAACTGATCTGACTAATTAGACCTGGACCATGAACCTCCCCCCCAAAAAAACAAACACCAAACCGCTAGAAGCCAGTTAAAAGTTCCTGGTTTTGCATATGCTACATTAATTAGCCGCCTCAAGCATTATCCTACGGGGTAGTGGTAGAAGGGGTGAAGTTATGGTACAAATGCAGTAATTCTCCTACACCGGCAACACCGCGTCTCCGGCCCTAAGAGGGGGCCTAGCAGGGCCGGGACGAGCAAAGAGCAAGCCCGCACCACTGCGCGCTCTAGAGCCGGGACTCAAACGCCGAGGCCTCGCGCGGCTAGTGACGCAGGTGCTTGGGGGCGGGGCCCCGGCACTACGCAGCCGCCGTGGGTGGGGCTACGGCGCCGCTCTTGCAGGACCCGCTCACTCCTCGGGTGCGCTTGATCCTCGGCAGCTCCCGTCGCCCCGCGTCACGGCCGGCGCCC